GGAGGGGGAAGAGTGTGTGGGGTGTGTGTGTGTGTGTGTGTGTGTGAGAGAGAGACAGAGAGATAGACAGAGAGACAGACAGGGAGAGAGAGGGAGGGAGGGAAAGGGAGAGAGAGAGAGAGAGACAGAGAGACAGACAGGGAGAGAGAGGGAGGGAGGGAAAGGGAGAGAGAGAGAGAGAGACAAAGAGACAGAGACAGACACACACAGAGGAGAGAGAGAGAGACAGAGAGAGAGAGTTATTACGTAAGTTCTTTTAGGGCAAGGACCATTTCGTTTTTATTATTGTTTCCCCAGTGCCTAACACATTCTTGTCATATGGTAGGCACTTAATAAATGCTTGCTGAATTGAAGTGAGGCGGGATTTAAATTCAGGTGTTCCTGACTCCAAATCCAACACAAGAAAGTGGGGAGCCCCATGAGGACAGCGAGGGGAAGACAGAGACAAAGGAAGAGAGAGACAAACAAGAACAAGAAACTAGAAAAAAGGAGAAAACATATCCAAGGAGAAGACAGGATGGACGAGAAACAAAGGACACAGCACAAAAATCAGAAAATAAGGGGGCGGGGAGGAGTGGATCTGTAGAAGAAAAGTGGGGAGAATAAAGAAGAGAGTCTGAAAAACCAATAGAAGAAAGCTTGAGAACAGTGAGCACAGGAAACAAAAAAGAATGATGTCACCTCTAATTACCCTCACGTCATTCATTCAGGGCATTATCCTTGAGTGAAGTCTTCCTAACAACCTGGCTCCCACCGGTCTCCCAGCATGCTTTGATCAAGACCTCCTCTGATTGTCAGTTAGGGTGGGAAGAGGAGGGAACCTAATTTTAATAGGAGCTTCAACAAAATAGCATTAAGAAGGAAAATCCATTGCTAAAAAAATAAAATTGTGATAAATGCATGCTGTGGCTGGCTTGTTTAGCCATTTAGAGCACCAAGCTTACAAATTCTTGGTCTTGTGTTTGATTACCCTGTGGATTAGCTGAGGGTGTGGAGGTGTATGGAATTGGTTCATGGGTACAGATTGCTTCCTTAATCCTGTCCATTTGCTTTTAGAGGCCCCATGGTTAGTGAAAAAGAGTCAGGAAAACTAGGAGCAAATCATGATTTCAAAACTTATGATATCCAATAGATTAGCTCCTGGAAGACTGGCACTAATTTGATTTTTGTCTTTGCAGAAAGATACTTAAACCATGTTTATTGCATTGACTTGGATAACTAACTATGTGACAACAGTAAAGTTATTTTACCCTTCTGGCCCTGTTTCCTCATCTATAAAATGAAGACAAAAATGGATTTGAAAATTTACTAGCTGAATGACCAAAGGGGAAAAATCCCTTTACCACTTGGAGCCAGAGCATTATAGATTAAGATATCTGGGTAAGTTAGAGAATTCCCTAGTATAGTTAAGGGTGTTCCTGCCAATACTCAGTGAGGAATTTGGGGATGAGTATTACAGTTAAGACTTGCTGTTTCATCCTGCCCCATATGAAGGAAAGGGGGCAAGGAAGAGTGAGACGCACCTCTGAAGAATCTGGTTATGACCACCCACTGTACCCTGGGACAAGAGTCAGCTGCCCTACATTCAAATCCCAGCTCTTTCATTTCCTTCCTGTGTGACCTTGGCCTAGTTCTTTCATCTTCCTGGGCCTCATTGTTCTTATCTGTACAACGAGGGAAGTTAGAATATGTGGCATCTGAAGCACCTGTCAACTCTAAATCTATGTGATCTCTGTAGTCTCTTCCCAGGTCTAAAATCCCATGATTTCGATTGTGATCTCTCTTGGCCTTCTCAGAGATTAACTTTGGTGTGAGTCCTGGAGAGTAGGACAACATCACCCTCTGGTGGTAGAAGTGGGAGCAACGTGGGGACATAGTTCATGTGTTGTTAGAGCTTTGGCCTGCCTGCCTTCCCACATGTGCCCAGTTTGGAGGTGGAGGGGATGAGAGGGAGATCCTTTCGCTGCCACTCCTGGCCCTGGCTCTCCATGAGGAGCCAAGTCACTTGGGTGTGGGAGGTGGCAGACACAACAGCTGGGGGCATCAGATAACAGATGAAGGAGGCAGATAAAACAGCTGGCACCAGCAGATACAACAACTGGAGGTGGCAGACACAACAGGCGGAGGTGGCAAATAGGCCAGCTAGAAGCCAATGGCCCTAGTGCCCATGAGGATGGACCTGAGTGAGATGGGCTACTGAGGTTGTGTTTGTCCTGGTTTTTTCTAGAGTCACTACAAATGCAGCAGAGATATTTCCCACTGAAAGCTTGAGACCAATGAGAAAAACCCTCCTAGGAAGTTCTGGCATAATTGTTATTGCTTTGATTATGTTCCTGGAGGAATCACCCCTATTCCCACTTCAAATTTTTTTCGAACAAGGGAAGGCAAAAGCAGCAGCAATCTAGACCCCTGGATGGTCTGAAGGTCTTAGTGGCCTGTCTTCCTGGGAGTGTTAGGCCTTTAAGGAGCTCATCTATCCCCTGCTCCTCAAGTTGAAATGACCTCCCCAAGGCAGGTCCAGGACATCCCCAGGAGGCCAGACCCCCCTAGGCAGAATGTAGAAGCTCAGTTCACCAATGCTTCTTTACCCCTAGAAAAGTACAAGTTACTCCACAGGTAGGCAGGGGTGCCAGATGTTCAGTCTAGAGGAGACAGTCTCCTATTTCAATGCTTTGTTCGCTTTTCTACTGGCAGGACGCACAGCAGTCTTGGATTTACGTCTGGTCAGACACCACCAATGATTAACCCTCAGTCCCTCTTCTACCTTCCTCCCTGGGCCAGAACAATTCTCCAATTTGAAGTCTGTTCAGGGGCCCCTTAAGAAAATGTGCCACCACCTTCAGGAGAGCTCCTTCCTTCATTGTTGCTTCCTTTGTCCTATCTGTATGTAAGACCCCGGTCCATATCTTTACCTGTGACACACAGCGACCCTTAGGCACGAGATTAACCACCAAGCATTGGGGACAAGGGGAACAGAGGAGAGGGGAGCTTCTGAGATGTTGTGGTGTAGTAGACCAAGTGCTGGACTTTGAGTCAGGAGAGACTTGGGTTTAAATGCCACCTCTGAGCCTCAGTTTCCTCAACTGTCAAATAGGAATAACAAAATCTGCAGTACCTACCTCACAGGGTTTTTGTAAAGATCAAATGACAATCTACAAAAAGGTATAGGAACAGGGCCTGTGATTGCGCTGATATATAGGGAACTCCTGGATGAAAAACTCCTTATACCAATGCAGGTCAGTACCTTCTCTGCAATTTATAGTCTTTTAAAACTGTCTACAGCACTGAGAAATTAAGTGACTTGTCCAGGATCACACATCCAGCATGAGTTAGAGGTGGACCTTAAAGCACTATATAAAAGTCAGCTATTATGATTTTTGAGAAAGCTAAATATCTCCGGGTCTTCACTGGGTTTTAGGAATGGGGATAATCATAGTCATAGATTGAAAGCTGGAAGGGATCTTAGAGACATCTCCATTGGACAGGTGAGGAGACTAAGGCCCAGAGAGGTTGTGATTTGCCTTAGGTCATTCTGGGAGTGGCAGGGGCCAAACTCAAGCCCAGTTGCTCTGATACAAAAGCAATGTTCTCTACACTGGGGCAGTGGGCAGGCCTGAAGATGATCTCCTAGCATTGCCTTTCCTGCTCATGACATACACCAGCATGGGCAGAATCCTACCTTGGAATCAAAAGGCTCCAGAGAATTCGTTATGGGGCCTAATGGAGATTGGGGCTATTTAGGAGCAATGGATCCTGTTTCAGTCTCTCCTCACCCCCATCTCAGGGGATCATGGGATGAGACTGTGGTCAAATATGAGGCCAGGTTGATGGTAGCTTCACTCTCAGAAAAGTACAGAATTTTCAGAGACCCTCTAGGGGTGACTGCCAGAGGATGGTCAGGGTATTGTATAAACCTCTGCCATGCTGTCTTCCTCTCCAGATGACTTCAGTTGCAAAGGTGTACTACAGTCAGACCACTCAGACAGAGAACCAGGCCCTGATGGGCCCGGGGCTGCGCCGCCGGCGGGTACTGACCAAGGATGGCCGCAGCAACATCCGCATGGAACACATCGCTGACAAGCGCTTCCTCTACCTCAAGGACCTATGGACCACCTTCATTGACATGCAGTGGCGCTACAAGCTGTTATTATTCTCTGCCACCTTTGCAGGCACCTGGTTTCTGTTTGGTGTAGTGTGGTACCTGGTGGCTGTGGCCCACGGAGACCTCCTGGAGCTAGGGCCTCCTGCTAACCACACACCCTGTGTGGTGCAGGTACACACGCTGACAGGTGCCTTCCTCTTCTCCCTCGAGTCACAGACCACCATTGGTTACGGGTTCCGCTATATTAGTGAAGAGTGTCCACTGGCCATTGTCCTCCTCATTGCCCAGCTGGTGCTCACCACCATCCTGGAGATCTTTATCACAGGCACTTTCCTGGCTAAAATTGCCCGGCCCAAGAAGAGGGCTGAGACCATCCGCTTCAGCCAGCATGCTGTGGTGGCCACCCATGATGGCAAACCCTGCCTCATGATCCGTGTTGCCAACATGCGCAAAAGCCTCCTCATTGGCTGCCAGGTGACAGGTAAGCTGCTCCAGACCCATTTAACCAAGGAGGGGGAGAGCATCCGGCTCAATCAAGTCAATGTGGCCTTCCAGGTGGACACAGCCTCTGACAGCCCATTCCTCATCCTACCCCTTACTTTCTACCATGTGGTAGATGAATCCAGCCCTCTGCGTGACCTGCCCCTGCGAAGTGGTGAGGGGGACTTTGAGTTGGTTCTGATCCTCAGTGGGACAGTGGAATCTACCAGTGCCACCTGCCAAGTGCGTACATCCTACTTGCCAGAGGAGATCCTCTGGGGCTATGAATTCACACCTGCCATCTCACTCTCAGCTAGTGGCAAGTATGTGGCTGACTTCAGCCTCTTTGACCAGGTGGTGAAAGTGAGCCCTCCTGGCTGCCTCCGAGATACCACTGTCCGTTATGGGGACCCTGAAAAGCTCAAGCTAGAGGAGTCATTCCGGGAACAGGAAGGGAAGGAGGGCAGCGCCCTCAGTGTACGAATCAGCAACGTCTGACTGCTTTGACTCCCACTTCCCTCACCCCTTCTGGCCAGAGGAGATATTTTCTGGTTCAACCCTACCCCCTGACTCATGCCTGTTCTCTCTCTCCCAGCTCCCAAGTGGGGTGCTCATTAGAGAAAGCCCCAGGATCACCCTTCTCCTAATCCCAGCTCCCTCCACCCAGTGGCCTGTAATTTGCCTAGGCCAGCCTGAGGGAACAGTCCCCCTTTAGACTGAGCCCCACCTCTAAGCCAAGGTTTGGGGTATTTGGGACAGAGTAGATTGGGCTGCGGAGGATTAGAAAATCCCAGCCATTACTGGAGACTCCATAAGAGAACTGTGCAGTTGGATGGATGGATGGACTCTGCTCCATTTATGGAACTTGGTGCCTTGAGGATGGAGGATTTTCCTTTTCTACCTTCCCACCAAGCTAGTTCCCTGAGCCCAGGCTCTCTCTGCTGGTCACTCTGGGGACTACACTCTTAGATATTACTGATGCTGGGACCTGGCAGTAGATAAAGCATCAACCTGTCATAGTATCCTAGCTATACCCCAACACAGTATACTACTTCTTCCTCTGATGAGACTGATTCCCCTTCTGGCCCAAACCTTCTGGCTTGATCACCACCATTTACTCCTTCACAATTCCCCAGGTGGACTCTCTCCCTATGTCCAAGGTCTGACTTGTCCCTCCTTTGATGCCTTTATCCCCAGAGATTGGGATTGATCTTAATAAATGACCACAACATATAGTAATACCACAATCATACACTCATAGAGTTTAAAATTCTTCAAACTGAGGATCACTGGAAAAGAGATATTGTCCAAATTCCAGGTGCTTATCTCCCTAGGATACTCAAGGTGTCCTGTGAGAGGTCTAACCCTGGTGACTACATTCTCCAAGGAAGGGTTCAGATGTCTGAACCCTCAGGAAAGGGTCTAAGATGATGTTTCAGTCAGAAGCTGCACCTAGGTTTCGCTCCCTCCTAACCAGTCTGTTCAATGTCCCTTTTCCCTTACCATATTAGCTCTGTTTCACAAGATGAATGGGAAGTGGAGAGAAGGACTTTTCTTTATTCTTTGCTACACTGAAGACCAGATCTCAAGGTTCAGAAGCTCTAGTGAAATTGAATCAATCTCACCAAGTGGGAATTTTTCCATATGCCAGTCCTTTGGGTAAAGCTTCTTGGGTATGCCTTCAAGGAACTGGTGATATGCTGTTGAGGACCAGACAGAAAGCAAGATCTATGATGGAAGTCACTATTGCCACTCTCATTTACCCTGGACTCCTCTGAAAAGCACAAGTTACTTCCCAGGCCATTGAATAAATACCTGAATGCCCTCAGAAAGAAGAATATGACATTCCTGGGGCCTAGAGGAAAAGAAGAGGATCCACCTTGTCCCAATGCTCTTGTTCCCCCCAAAACTCAGTCCCAGATACTTAGTGGGCAAGAATTCTCAAAGGAACAAGACTGGACTACAGCCCACCCAAGGAAGACAGTGTGATGCAGCAGAAAGAATGCTAGATTTGGAGTTAGAGGACCTGAGTTCAAATCCTGGTTCTGCCACTTACTACCTGTGTGACCAGAGCAAATCACTTAAACTCTCTGGGTCTCAGTTCCTTCAACTGCAAATTAGGTAGGCTAACTGACCTCTAAGGTCTCTTCTAGCTCCAAATCTATGATCCATTGCCTGGCAGGGACCAGCGTGGAAAGCCACTGAAGAAAGCCTCTGTATCCACAGAGGTTAGCCCTATTGGCAGATAACAGGGACAAGTTTTGCAGGGTTCTTGTGGAGTGTCATTAAATGAGGCAGCCGAGAGAAAACCCTGTCTCTCCATCAAGAGAGAGTAGGTTACAGCAGAAGCAACTATCTGGTGTTTTTATATAAGCCGATGCCCAGCTAATCACATTCCAACCCTAATTTTACAAAAAAAGTGTTGTATGTGTATGTTCATCCTGCAGCCTTGTAGACAGGCTCACAGTATCTCTAGGCAGGCCCCAGAATCATAAACTGACCACATATGCAGAAGCTCCACCCACGAAGAGCCTTTTGGACTTGGCTAATCCCAACTAATAAGTGGAGACTGATACCACCTCTCCATCAATCTCTGCCTATAATAAACCCCACTAGAAGCCCCTGGTCTAGGTGGAGTTTAGACAGAATTGAACCTTGCAGATACTTGAAAGCCTTCCACAGGAACCAGAAGCGAGAGGGCCATCTGCTGGATTTTCCCTTCTTAAAATCAGACTTTCCTGATTTCTTCTGTATGTGTCTATATACATATAGAAGGGGACACGTACGCACTGACATATAATATCCATATCTATATATTGTTCCTAATCAGTCCCCATCCATCTGGTTTCTTCTGCACATAGCTGCCACCCCCTTACATGAGTCATTCCTCCTCTCTCCCCCCACTCCCTTAGTCTTAATTCCTCAGACCTCCCAACTCGTTGGACAGTAAGCAAACTTGAGAAATTGCCTGCAACCCAATGCACTGGTTTCCCTCCCTGGCCCTTTCCCTATCTGTCTCCCGTCCCCAACTCCAGGATGCCTTGTAAGTTGCACTTTATTTGGCATGTTTCCCTTTGGTCTGCTCTGGCCCTCACCCCCTCACTCACATGCCAGGGATCTCACTCTCCTACCAAACCCTGAATGCCTTCAACAAAGGGCAGTCTCTGTCCCTGGCTGAGTCTTACTTCTCTTCTAAACTGTGAGATGTGCCTCCAGATATGGACAGTTCTTAAGGAAATGGATCACATCTCCACTGACCATCATCTGGGAATACAGGGGAAAGGGAGAGAGAGAGTTATGGCTGCAGATGGGGGAGGCTTCAGAGGATGGTCTGGTAACTCCTTCAAATGGTGGGTCCTTGAGGTGGCTGGGGTAAGAAGTTGGAAAAAGGTGCTGATACTGAGAAAATCCACTGAAACCACAAAACTTTTATGCCTTATCATTCACCTCCTTACAACACTAGACACCTTAGATAAGGTGTAGGTGGGGTTTGGGGGGAAAGGTCACATGACATGTATAGAAGGTTTACCTATGGAAGAGAGATAGAAAAAGTAATATATAATATATATGCATATATGTATGTGTAAATATGTGTACAGAAAAGTGCACAGAGAGCTTACAGTGAGGGGCAGGACACCTTACTCTAATGAAGGGTGGGGTCGGGAGAGGGATGGGTAGGATGCCCTGGACTCCCTGTCTCATGATGGTCACTGGTTCTGGTCACAGTCTAGAGTTGGAGGATTGGCTCTGAGGTCATTGGAGATTGAGAAAGGGTAGAATGGGGCTGATCTTGTTGGAAATAGAGGCATCTATTGTGAACTTGTGATATTCAGAAGACTAATCATTCCCCACACTCCAGTGCTGCTGCTAGGGCCTGAAGGGGACCTACTGGTAGGTAGAGGAAGAAGCAGAGAAAGTAAGAAAGGAGAGCCCTTGGGGAGGAGGGTTCTTACTCTTACTGTAGAGGCTAAGTCTGGTGGAAAACTTCTTAGCTCTGTTTCTGAATCCTAGCAGTTGGCTCCTAGCCCACATACACTTTTTTTTTTTTAAAGTATAGTCCAATTCAACTTATTCTCTCAGTAGTCCTTATTCTTTTCTATTAACAGAGGTGATGGCAACCATAGCCTGAGCTGTTAAGGTAATGACTATCATCACTGAGATTCCATCTTGGCCTCCCTATCATATAAGCTGGGGGTGGGGGCAGGGGAGCTGGGGTAGGAGGATTCTGCCTTGCCCTTCTGGCTCCCTCATCCCAACCCTCCAGTGCAGGGTTGGTGGGCTGCTACTTCCAATGGTACTCCTAAGATAGATGCTTAAGGATCTGTCTAAATGCTGGCTAAAAGCAGCACTTAGGAGGAGGTTGCCTCTAAAGGCAGGTAGACCCCAATCCTGTCATGAGTGACAATGGGTTGTTTCTGTATAACTGGAAGAGGGTAGGATTGCTCTGGGGGATGACCAACTCTATCTTTCACACTACAATTAGTCCCTCAGCGTCTCTCAAATCGAATGATACCACCTGGGGATTTCATAAGTGGCCTGAAGGAAAGGAAGAGGCTACCTACAACTCCCTCACCCTGCATGGCAGGGATACTATTCCCTTCCCCAGGCTGCTGCCCTAATCCTTCTCCCTCACTTGGCTCATCTAGTAGTAACACGCTGCTGCCTTCACTGTAAAGCTAGCTTGGGCCTCTGGCCCAATAATGGCCCATTCTACTGAACCAGAAGTATCTAGGAAAAGGTGTTTCCATTCATTGCGCTAAAAACTAAACCAGGTCAGATTTATCCAGGAAAAAGATGCTTGAGTATTTTTTTTTTCTGTACAAAATAATCTACTAAATAAAATATTTCATCACCATGATTTGTATCCAGGCTGTTCTTAGAAAAGAAAATGAGCCTCTTAGCAATAATAAAAAATTATTAGTGGGGGAAGTTGGCAGGGGCAGGAAATAGAGAGGCCTGGGGGCAAGTTAGGGTTTGACCAGATGAATAAACACTAGTGATTTTTTGGTTTCTTGCTCTGATACTCCTTCCCCTTTCATCTCCCCTAAGCCTTTGGTCAAGGCCATTCATCCTTCCACCTACCCTTCCTACTTTTAACCCCTTCAACAACCTCTCAAGATGTCCCATATGACTTGGGTGGGGAAAAGGGGAGGTCACTGGTTTTCTAGAAAGGATAAAAGAAGTATTTCCTACCCCCTTTGAAGTCCTATCTGGCATCATGCTCCCAAAGGTCACTTCACCTTTGATACTGAACACTCTTTCCATCTAGCAATTAGCACAAAACCATTTTTTCCCTCTTCTAAACCAATCAGTTGGCCTGTTGCCTGTATTTGTGGATGAATCTTCACAGAATCACAGAGTTGGAAAGGCCATCAAAGGTCCATGGTCCTATTTCCCTGGCTTATGCTAAGAATCTGTCTCAGATCTCAGAGAAATTGATCTCTCTTTTGCCTTTCATTATTGAAGTTCTAAGATAGACCTGTATATTCCCAGCCAGC